CCACAAAAGCACAGCATCACCAACATTTCTGGTGGTGTAAAACTTATTCTGAAGCAATATATAATCTGTGTTCTATTAACTTTAACATTTATCTGCATGCTTTTGATATTAACCTCAGGATGTTATTTACCTTTATAAAGGCCATTTTTTAAACCCTATTAAATGTATGCATCATATTTCATGTCAAACTCTTACAGTTGATCAATAGATTCAATTTACACTAAGGATCTATACCAAACAAATTAAATAATTTACATTGCACAATTACAACTGCAATAAATGATGTTATGAGATTAAGGTTTTAAATACAATTTTGAATATACAAATAAGAAATGTTGGGGGAGGAAATACATACTTTTAAACATACAAAACGCGCCAGTAGGTAAGTCACTTAATGAGTGAGTCATTGAGTCATTCAATTAACTGATTCGTTCAAAACGCTGAATCACTCAGTAACAAATCCCCGCTGCGTGCTTGGAGATTGTGCAATACTTCTGCTGTGATCTTTGTTTGGAAGTTGGAACTGCTTTAGTTGGTGAAACGGAACACAACAGTCAATTTTGTGTCTAAAATGTAAGTATCTTAATTACGTGACTACTTAACTACTTGTTTATTTAACTAAAATCAATTTAACATTTGCAATCGTGAGAATATTTGGCAATTAGCTCCCTTGTCATGGTATGACTCTGGTATGTCTCTGGTATGTTGTCATGGTATACTCAACATTTAGAATTTTTACCTCAGTATGTTTCTTCTGTGAGTTTCTTTATGTGTCCCGTTCAGCTCTTTTGCTCATTTCATACACTCACTTGATTTGATTTCTCCATAAAAGTCTCTTACAAAGAGACGGACAGCAGCGCGAACCTAAACAGCGTGACATTGATACCAGAAATACACTATCCATTATCAATCGCTGTTTATGTTGAATGTAATAAAATCAGAAGAATCATTCTCATGTTTCGATGCTTCACTGGTTATTTTCTTGTCACTTAAGCTTTAATCAGGTAATTTGTCCGGTCGGGCAAGTAAAATTCTCGAGCCATTTTTCAGTAAACTTGCATTTAAACTAGCTAGGAGACTGGTCAGCTAACTGTAGCATGCAGTAACTACAGCGGCGAAAAAAAAACTGTCACTGGGTCCGTCGGACTGGAGAATGTTTTGTTTTTTGCAGTAATGGGCCCGAAAATATAAAAAGACCCATCGAATCTGAATTTAAGACATTTTAAGACTTTTTAAGGACCCGCGGCCACCCTGTTATATGCTGATTTGCTGCTCAAGAAACATTTCTGATTATTATCAATGTGGAAAACAGTTGTGCTGCCCAATATGTTTGTGGAAACCATGATATTTTTCAGTATTCTTTGAATAGAACTTGCAAAAGAGCAGTATTTATTTGAAACAGTTTTTTTTTTAATCAATTTAAAAGTCTTTACTGTAACTTTTCATCAAATTAATCCATCTTTTCTGTATAAACATAATTTTTCAAAACAATAAATCTTTAAAATATTGAAAATGTCTATAAAACAGAACAATGACCAATTATAACCACATTAGAACATAATTCACCCAAAAATGTAAATTCTGTCATTAATTACTTACCCTCATGTCGCTCCAAACCCATAAGACCCTTTTGTGCAGAACACAAATGAAGATCTTTAAAATATTGAAAATGTTTATAAAACAGAACAAGGACTAATTATAACCACATTAGAACATATTTCACCCAAAAATGTAAATTCTGTCATTAATTACTTACCCTCATGTCGCTCCAAACCCATAAGACACTTTTGTGCAAAACACAAATGAAGATATTTTTTTGCCTTGTGTACGCAAAAAACAGGAACAACAAAAAAAGTATGTCTTTATTCACAAATTATGTATCTCCAACGCATTTTCACAAAAGCACCATGAGATGGCCAGCTCTCACGCCAACGCAACACTGATGCATCATGGTGCTCTCGTGAACGTGTTATTTTATAATAATAAAAAAAAAAAAGGAATTTCTCAGATTTCATTAAAAAGATCTACATTTATGTTTCAAAGATGAACAAAAGTCTTACAGGTTTGGAACAACATGAAGGTGAGTGATGAAAATGTTTGGTTTAACTAACACATTAGGTAAATCGGTTCCCTCAGGGGCACCAGTAGATCTCTCAGGGATCCCACGCTTCTTGAAAGTACTTGAATTTCAGACATATGGATTCAAGGCCTGGAAAGTACTTGAAAACAAACATAGGCATTTCTACCATTTCTACCAAAAGAGTGGGGACTTACAGGATAAGAACAATTTTCTAGAATTTTCAACAGTTTTTTGTCTTTTTTGTCACAGGGCTCCAGACTGCAAACAAATGGTCGCATTTTGTGACCGTTTTTTCTGCCAGTGCGACTAAATTTTGTGAGCAATCACACTGGTGCGACCACTACGTTGCCCCACCTCATAAGCGCTGCTATTTCTGTTGCATATAAGAAACATCAAACAGCAAGCGAAACAAAAGCTAGTGAAACGGCGCTACTCGTTTGAGCTGTGCAGTGCAGACCGTTTATCAGCTCGGATCAGCGCAGAGCAAACAAACTTCTCCGAG